GCCCCTGCATGGAAATGGTGCAGAAGGTTTAGAATTGTCCACACACACACACACACACTCTCTCTCTCTCTCTCTCTCTCTCTCACCTGGCTGAACTTCACCCCCTAATGCTTTGTTGCTTATCTCTGACTAGTGCTACAATCTATAGAGAATATGAAAAACAGCTACTCTGCATCTCCTTAACTGAAGCTGTGTACCTGCGTCTGTGTGTGTGCATGCTCATTTGTGGAGCTATGTGCGTACATTAAGGGATAGTCACTTCCACACACAAACACACCCACGTTCAGCTACATGTACTTACAACAGTAGCAACAACAAACGCATAACTGTTCACATGTCATCTCACTCTCCTGCAGACCTGATACGTCGGAGCTGGCCCCATTATAGATTTTTCAACCTGATTCTGATCTCATTCACTATTGGTTTACGCCAATGTAACACCACTGATGTCCATACAACTACTCCAGGTTTACATCAGTGTGACTAAAATCAGAATCTGGCCCCGTCTGATGATTGGGCTCTTCTTCCGGCCTCAGGCTAACCACATCCTGATTTCAGTCTTTGTGTTGCTAGTTACATCCACAATGCTTACATCTGCTGCAGCTGCAAGCAGAATCTAATCCAGGGATTGAGATCATCAGGTCTTTTGCCTGAGAAAAGGCTTCTAAACCAGGCCTGTGATCCTCATTCAGGGCATAATATTCTTAACTATACATAGGGACCTTAGTTTTCGGTTTTTATTTTATTTCATTTTTTTCCCAGGAATGTATCAGTGTCTATTACTACAACAACAAAAATAGGACTGAAAATCAGTGGATTTTTCTGGATAAATATTGGGGTTTATTTTGGTGGACGGAGGGACAGGGGAAAAAGCATTCCGTAGATTAATGCTTTGATGAATGGAATTCAATGTGGTTTGCTGCAGAACTGAAACAGAACGCAGAACATGACCACCTCTGAGTTTAAGAAAACAATTTATCTCTTATCCCCATATACATTTTTTTCATTTGAACAAACCGTTACTGTTGTAGACTTAGAACTATTAGCCCATAAATCTTTACATTTAATAATTGGGCCACACCACTTGCAGTGTTTACACTCAACTACATCCTTTTCTCCTGTTTTTGTTTTTTAAAAACTTTTGAATACTTCCTTGTGTCCTAAACCGTATTCTGAGACAGATTTTCATTTTCTTCCCATTTTAGTGTGTCGGATCTTTAAACTGTTATCTGCTAACAGCTTGAAACGTGTACGTGGTGGGCGTGAGATTCATACGTTCAGATGCGCACACACTTCAGAGCTTGCATGCATGCCTGTTTGTCTATTGTGTGTATCTTGTTGACTAATACGTGTCCATACTTCAACGGGCCGCTTTGCATATATAGTGGAGTCGCATCATACGCGCATTTAACTTACGCGAATTTAACTATACGCGCTCGGCAAAAAAAAAGGGAAAAAAAGAAAAAAAAATGATTCTGCCCACCATTCCACTCAATGAGCATATTCCCCGGAGTGAGCGTGAGATGGGAGACGTGAATCTGCTGTTCCCTCGGTCGGTCTCAGTTCCCACGTGCCTCTCATAGTGTGATCATCTCGCCGCGCTGCATATCAGTGGTGGATGTAGCTGTAGGTCTGACTCATCTGTATAGCACTTTGGGCTGAGGGGATGGGATTTGATTATCACAGCAGCCACTGACCATTTTAAAAACAAGACTGGATGTTTTTCTAGGAATTATTTGTGGACGTTCTATGGCCTGTGTTGTACAGATCACAATGGTCCCTTCTGGTCCCAGAGTCTATGAATCTTTGACAGCATGGATTCCCGCTCGTCCAGAGAAACTGCCAAAGAAGATGGAGGCAGAGCTGAGAATCTGCTGCTGATCGGAACCGACTTTGCTTTGAGGCCGTGTGGACCCACACTTGAACCGCTTCAGTTGAACTGCTGCAAGCGTGTGTGTGGACACTCTTATTTCAGTTTAGCTTAAACCTCTTCCTAGAGGACTTGGAGCTAAATCGCAATCAGTCTGGTTAAAACGGGAACACACGCACGTTCACTGGCTGAGCATCATGCCTTTAAACTAAACCGGTGCGTAACTGAATGTACATGGATCCTGAATCGCAGAGAGCTGCAGCCAGTGAGATAGAGCTGCTCGGAGTCCAGCATGCCCCCCAGGGACTCCAAGAGAGAGGAGAGACGGAGGAGCGCTTTAACTGCAGTGAAAGTGCGGAGAGAGGTAATTGGAGCCTCCGTGCAATGGGCTTGGATGGGCAGAGAGAACGCGACTGACTCAGATGGGGCTGCGTTTTCAGTGGCAGCTGCAATTTGTCCGACCTCCCGTGTGAATGAGCAGCAGGGACCTGATCACCCCAAGGGGCTCCTATGGGCCAGGGACCCAGCTTGCCCCCCACTGCTGGTACTTTGTGTGCCTGGGTGGACCCAACTGGCCTGGTAGTGGATTCAGAGACAATTTTGAAGTGTGTGTGTGTGGGGGGGAATGTTCACCCATCTGAAATGCTGGCCCAGGTCTCCATTCATTTTTCCCCTTCCCTTCTCTTTCTCTCTCTCTCTCTCCAAAGGCCAGGCTTTGAAACAGGAGAGCAATAGGCAGGCTCAGCTGTGCGCATGTGCCCAGGGCCCTGCGTCTGTGTGAGTAACAAGCAGGTGTCTGGGGACAGCAGGTAACTCATGTTGTGGGCGCACGCCACGCCAGTGCATTCACCTTTCTCTGCCAGTGCCGATGGCATAGGGTGACCAGACAGCAAGTGTGAAAAATCGGGACAGGGGGTGCGGGGTAATAGGAGCCTATATAAGACAAAGCCCCAAATATCGGGACTGTCCCTATAAAATCGGGATATCTGGTCACCCTACGCTGGCGTGCCTGCAGAAAGGTGACCCTGACTGCTCCGGGGAAGGGGATCTGCAAAGGTGGCTGTGTAGGAGGAAGTTGACCCTCCCAGCATGCCTAGCACTCAGAGGCCTCCTCTCCCATGACAGCTGCCTTGATTCTTGGCCCCGAAGTCTCTGTCCAGGTGTTTCATGGTCACTACCATCAGGACAAACTGGGAATGTAAGTTAAACAAAGATTTCAAAGGAAACTCGCTTCTCGAAGAAAAGGAGAATTGGGAATTCCTGAGAGTTCAGAGGAGATGGGGCGCCCTGTTGTTTAAACCCTGGAGCAGGGCCCAGAGAAATCAGTCCTTAGTTTGGGGACTCTCAGCACACAGCTGGGGGCAGAGCTGGGAGCGCAGTTGGGAGTGGAGCTGCAGCCGGGCCGGGGGTCGAGGCAGAGGGCAGAGCTGGGACCGGGAGCAGAGCCATAGCTGTGTCCGCAGCTGGGGGCGGGGGCCGGGTGAGGGGCCGAGGCTGGGGGCGGGGTCAGCAGCAGAACAGGGCTGGGTGGCCTGGTCTCCCACTGTGCTGCCCTGAATGTTCCTCTGCGCCCCCTGGGGGGCCTGCCCCATACTTTGGGGACCTCTGAACTCGAGAAAGCTGGAGAAGGAGCTGTAGAAAATCCCGTGGGTCTGCCCCAGCACTGCTCGTCCCAGGGTTTCCCGGTAGCTTTTCTGGTGAATTGTGTGAACCTGGTTTTATTGTAGCGGCAAACAGAAAAAACCAACCCCCTTGTTTCTCAGACTCAGTGGCTGCAGTCTGGGCTGGAGATGCCTTCAGCCAGCATTGACACCATGCAGACTTTGCATGAGCTTCCCTTAAGGGAGGGGTGTCACCGGGCCTCAGTGGGTCACAACTGAGAATACCAAATTCAGGACAAACTGCTGAGAAATAGGGCAGACACACCCAGACTGGGGGTTAGTCTACCATTAGCTATACCAAGCCAGTAATAAAAGTAAACTTCTGTCTCATCTCACCGGCTAACAAGAAGTCAGAAAAGCAGTTTCCTTAGTCATTCCAGTTCTTATATTACCACCGAAAACCCCAAACTTAATGACACGTGGTTATTTAAAACCAATTCCATCAAACAAAGGGTTCTTCTGATCTCAGAAGATCTTTCACGTACCCAGGTCAATACATAGCTCAGATCTTACCCAATAATCACGCTGTTGCCAATCCTTTAGTATCTAATATCTACAGGTTTATTTATAAGAGAAAAGAAGGAGAGAGATAAAGTGGTTAAGGAAATTGAATGCATACGCTCAGTGCAAAGTTCTTGGATCAGGTTTGTAGCAGTGATGGAATGAACAGGTTGGGGGTCATCAGTCCCTGTTTAGAGCGTCCTTGTTAAAAATCCAGACCAGAGAAATGAAGCAGGAAATGAAGACAAAATGGAGATATTTCCAAGGTCTTTTATCTCTTCTCCCATGTGGATGGAATGTCACTGTCCCAAAATAAAGCCCCCAGCACAGTTTGTGGAAAAGTACAGGCACAAGATGGAGTCCAGGGTCACATGAGCAAGTCACATGCTCATACATGCCTTGCTGACTCTCAGGAGCAGCCATTGCCCAAATTCTGTCTAAAGTGTCCACAGGGAGGCTCACTGGTGGGGGACAAGCTTCTTCTATGAGACAATGGAAAAGTTAAGTTTTCTTTAAAGGGCCATCAACTTGACTAGCTTATTCACAATGTGTTGACCAGACTGGATGTAAACTCCTTGTAGGTGTTTCTCCAGGAGCAAACACATTTGAAATATTGGTATGTAAGTCAATATTCATAACTTTAGATACAAAGATGATACATGTTCATGCACAGGATAATTATATTGAGCAAATCCTAACTTTTCCATTGACACCTGATATGACATATGTTGTACAAGGTTTGTTGCAATTATCTAACAGTGACAATATCAGTGATATTGGTACATTTCAATCATACACCATTGACACCAGATAGACTTTGCATGAGCTTCCCTTAAGGGGAGGGGAAGGAGTTGAGTGTCCAGTCTCAGACTGTGGGGTGGGGGTGGATGCAGCTGGAGTTGGCAGGCTCAGTGGCTGGCTGTAGAGGGGGAAGTCTGATTCCTCCAGGCAGAGGGCAAAGGCCGAGCATGGGGCAGAGTAAAGGTGAGCGTGAGACATGTTCCCATCCCTCACCCCTCTGGGCAACTGTGAGCTAAGAGCCAGTCTGGGTAGCAGCTCTGTGAGAGTCTGTGGGAGGAGCAATGGGAGAGATTGGATAAGTATTGGGCCATCCTGGTTGGGCGAATGTGGGGTCATTTGGGACGGGGCGAGTTTATCATTGTATTTAGCTCTCTGACTGGGGGGAAGTGCAGCAGCCTGGGAATCACAGTAGATACTTGCTGACAGCGGCTCAGGCACGGATACCGTTAATGAGTCTGCTCCCCAGAAGCACTCATGGCTTTGTCTCTTTCAGGCCCTGGGTCTAACCACACGCTCAGGAAATGTGCTTCCCGTCAAGTCCTAGTCCCAGCTGTCGTCCTAGCTGCAGTCACAGTTTTTATGTTGATCACCATCGTCACTATCGCTGCGTTAGCAGAACTTTTAAGAGGTAAGTGCATGGCCCAGCCAGTCTCTGCTCCCCCTGGAGCTGTCGCAGCCGCAGAATCTCTCCTCTGTCCCCTTTGGCTTCGGCAATCAGGCGAGAAAGGAGTTTGTCTAAAGGCGTATGCAGCCCCTGTTACCTTAGTAGCTGGAGATTTGTGAGGCACAGAGGGATTGTTATCTCTGTTTTCTGGATGGGGAAACCGAGGCCCAGAGAGATCAAGTGGGGGTGTTTTCAAGGTGCTAAAACTTCCTACACCTCAGAGCTTCCCACTTCCCCAGACACATATTGCATGTCTAGCGTAAAGTGCACATGGAACTGTAGGACCAGCAGCGCTAAAAGGGCACATTATTGACAGACCTTATTGTTGACTTCTATCCTTGCCATCTCACCGTTGTCACATCCCTGCCACATCCCGTCTGCAGCACGCCGCTCTGCCGTTATCGGGCTGGCCTTTCTGCAGCCCCTCTTCAGGGCCGGTGGGTGCTCCTGTGTGTCACTGACTCAGGCCTTATCATTCAGTATCAAAACCCCCCTTGAGGCTGAGAGGTTCAACCCACAGATGAAGGAAATCGGAAGTGAAGGTCCCCCAGAGACACTAACTGGCCCTGTCGGTGCCGTTTGAGGGCTGCTGTTTATACAGCTCCGGACGCACTGTACATTATGGTCACTATCGCCGAGCAGTTCAGCTACATTCACCTCTTGGACCAGATCCTGTGCACCACTTAGGACTAAATCAAGAATTCCCTCTCCTGTGGCGGGTTCCAAGATTAGCTGCTCCAAGAAGCACCTGGGTTTGTTCCCTGTTGTGAGTCTAATCCCATCTTCATCTCAAGGCATCTCTAAAGCAAAGAGCCTGGAGAGGGGAGCCAGGCAGCTGGGGTAGCAGGACGTCCCTGGGTTAGCAGACCCAGCATCCCATGTAATTATATTGAACGCTCTCTGGTGTCAATATTGGTCTGTGCCGACCATCAGGTATCGTTCCCCCTACCTAGGGTGACCAGACGTCCCGTGTTTAAAGGGACAGTCCCGTATTTAAGCCCTCCTGCAGGTGTTCTGACTTTTTCTTAAAAATGGGGAAATTGTCCCATATTTTCTGTCTCCTTCCCATCAGTACTGGCAGGTCCTGCTGCTGGCCGGATCCCTGCTCGCCAGCTGCCCACCCATGAGTGGTGAGGGCTTTGGGGGCTGCTGTTTCTATAGTTACAGGTGCACTGTACATTATGGGCACTATTGCCGAGCAGTTCAGGTGCCCACCCACCAGCTGAGAGGGGGGCAGTGGCCAGTGATGGGAGTGGCAGTGGGGCGAAGATGTAGTGTGTGGGGCTGTCAGCTCCCCCTGCTGGTCCATCAGCACAGCCCCTGCTGCGTGCTGGCCAGATTCACTGAAGCCCCTGCAGGCAGGTTCCCTGAGCCCTGGTGCACAATGCATGTTTAGGAATTCCTGCCCACGCTGTAGCCGAAGGTGGCTATTTGTGTCGGTGGCTAGCAACAGCCTGGAGGTGTTGGCTGTCTTTCGACACTGCGCGAGCAGCAAGGGAGAAGCTGCTTCTAGCCACATGGGAGTGGAGGGGAAGAAGAGACGAGCTCTGCAAAGACAGGGGCCAAGTCATCCTGCCCTGTCCCCTGCGGCTGGAAGCTGCTCCTGTCCCGACACACACACACACACACACACACACACACACACACACACACACACACACACACACACACACACACACACACACACACACACACACACACACACCCCCCTGCTGCTGGCCACATTCTGGTGTGAACCCTGGCAGAAATCTGGGGAGGTCATGTGACCCTGCGTCCTGTGCCCCCCAGGTGTTGCCTCAGGAAGATGTGCTGCCAGGAGACACGTGTCTGTCCTAGGGGCCCAGCCAGGCCTAGAGGGGGGCAGGGAGTCTGGAGTTGGTCGGTCCCTCCCCCTCCCCCTCATGTGAGAGAGTTGTAAGGAAGTGTGTGCGCGTCACCTCTCCCCGTGTGTGTGTGTGGGGGGGCTGGTAGGGGTGTGTGTGTCACCCCTCCCCCAAGTGAACCCTAAAGCCTTAAAGATAAGAAGGTAAATAAAAATAATCCAGCTACGCAGTATTTCTTTTTAACAGGGGCTCAGTCAACTTGATGTTAATTTAAATGATTGCACTGCGTAGTTCTGATTGATTGCCACTGAACTCGCTTGAATCCGAGGAATTTTACCAGCTGTCCTGTATTAAGCGTAGGGAAATATGGTCACCCTGCCCCCACCTGCCTGCTCCACGCCTTCATGGTGACTCCGGTGTTGCTGCACTCTGCTCTGGGTTGCTCGTCAGCTGCACTTTCAGTGATTGTGACCCCCAGAAACTGAGCCACTAAAGAAGATGTGGGGGGAGGCGGTCGTCCATTTCTTGTTCCAAGTAGTCTCGTTCCTCCCTTAGCCCAGCTCCCAGGGGTTTAAGCTTGGATCTGAGGGATTCTCTTCCCTCATTCACTCAGACACAGAATCAGGCTGAGGGGAACAGCATCTCTGACCCTGTGTTACTTGTCTCACTTTCAGTGGAAAAATCCAAACCACCTGTGGCTGCTCCGGGCCCCCCTGCGGTGCCCTGCTGCCCGGAGGACTGGATCGGGTACCGAGGGAAATGCTATTATTTCTCAGAGACTGACGGGAACTGGACCTACAGCCAGAGCCACTGCTCTGCACTCAACGCCTCCCTGGCTGCGATCGACAGTGAGCAGGAAAAGGTGAGAGAGCGGCAGATGCTTTATCCCAACAGACTGGGCTTGGCAGGGCTGGAAACGGGCTGGGCTCAACCCCAGAGGTCCAGAAATTGACCCATTGCCTCTCATGCTAGGAAACCTGAGAGTGTTTCTGGCGGCCGAATCCCAGCCCTGGCTAGAGCTGGGTTTGCAGTCAGGGATCACTCCCAGCCCACCCTCCTCTTTCCCAGAGCCCCACATGGGAGGATCCCCCTCTGTAGGGCTGGGCCGGCCCGGTCAGCTCCTGTTGAGAAAAAACAGTTACCGACCTTTCGTAACTGTTGTTCTTCAAGACGTGTTGCTTATGTCAATTCTCAGTAGGTGTGCACGCTGCGTGCACAGGTGTCGGAAGGTTTTTCCCCTAGCGGTGCCCATCGGGTCAGCTGTGGTGCCCCCTGGAGTGGCGCTTTCATGGTGGTGTATAAAGGTCCCTTCCAACCCGCCGCCTCCTCAGTTCCTTCTTGCCGGATACTCCAACAGAGGGGAGGTGGGTGGGTCTTGGAATGGACGTGAGCAACATCTCGAAGAACAACAGTTACGAAAGGTAGGTAACCGTTTTTTCTCCTTCGAGTGCTTGCTCATGTCGCTTCCAAGTCGGTGACTCCCAAGCATCTCCTAAGAGGAGGGGTCGGAGTTCACCGAGTCGCAGACTGCAGCACTGCCCTGCCGAATGCTGCGTTGTCTCTAGCCTGCTGAATAATGCAACAGGAAGGTGTCCTGAATGGGGACCTGCGCCAGGAACGCTGCCGAGGAAGCCTGTGCGCTGTTAATGCTGGGGCGGGTATCTTTGCTGGGTGGTAGCACGCTCTGCTACCGGCCGGGATCCATGACGAGATCCTTTGGGACCACACCGGGAGTCCCCTCATCCACTCAGCAACTGCGACGAAGAGCTGTGTCGACTTTCAAAATGGCTCCGTCCTTTCCATGTAAAAAGCGAAGTTTTCAACTATTTACAGGTACAACAAAAAAAAGTCCACTGGGGGATCATTTGCCATAGCAAGAGAAGAGCTGCTCCAATGACTGTCGCTGGCGGTGGGAAGGAACTGAGGAGGCGGCGGGTTGGCAGGGACCTATATACACCGCCATGAAGGCATGATTCCAGGGGGCTCCACAGCCGACGCGACGGGTACCGCTAGGGGAAAAACCTTCTGACGACTGTGCAAACACACCTACTTGGAACTGACGTGAGCAAGCACTTGAAGGACCTGCCTCTCCAGCACACCACAGCCAGTGACCCCATGGGTGCCAGGGGAAGCACTATTGGGCTGTGCAGGGAGTTAGCTCTGCCCTTCTTCAGAGCAGCTCCCGCCTGGCTGGGGGCAGGGGGGCGCTATGTGCAAAGCTGCTGGGAAGGAGCCTGGCAAGGAGGTGCAGAGGTGCCAGCGAAGCCAAAGTAGCCCAGACTGGAGAAAGGCAGGGGCAGGTCTGTCCATGTAAACATGGATGTGGGGATGGAGCTAGATGGGGGTAAATATGGCCTCTGAGCAGCTCCCAGCTCCTGCACATGTCCTCAGGCTCCCAGCTGAGCAGGCCCCAGTCTGATGGGACGTCCAACAAACTGGGATTCTCAGCCAGCAATTGGTTCACCGGCTGAAGCTGCTGTCAGAGGAGGGAGCTGCCAGCTGCTTTCCTGATGGCTCTTCCCTTGCCAGCTCTGACCCCTTCCAAACCTAGAGTGGGGCTGGTGCAGGGGAGAACTGTTGCTGTCACCGAGTCCTGTCTTCATGACCAGCTGGATCGTTAAACTGCGACTTATTCTCAGCCTCCCTGTGGCACGGGCCGGGCTGGTGTCATCGGACCTGGGGCTCTCAGCTGGCAAACTACAGGTGGCCCAACCAGAACTTCTGACTGGGCACCACACAGAGCCACAGGGGCAGGTGAGCACCAGAGCGAGGGGCCTAAACGTCATCTGCCTTCTCTTATTTTTCAGGATTTCCTGCTGCGCTATAAGGGCTTCCTCGACCGTTGGATCGGCCTCCAGAGGGAGCCAGGCCAGCCCTGGAGATGGCCCAATGGCACCGAATTCGACAACCGGTGAGTCCCTTTCCCTCCAGTAACATTCTCCGTGTTAGATCACGAGTGTCTGCCGTGCTGCCAAAAGACGAAGACTATATTTAACCAAGGTTGTTTGGGGTGTGGGAATGTGTCTGGGCTCTTACTGGTATTTGGTTTTCATGGACTAAAACCAATATTCCACCAGCATTTGCGGCCCCCGTGCAGTGTTATCATAATTTGTAGTAATGTAGCACCTCAGTGTCCTAGACCAGGGCCCCGTTGTGCCAGGCGCTGTACGATCACAGAACAGAAAGATGGTCCCTGCCCCACGGGGTTTACAATGCACCGCAGTTCTGGGCACAAGGGAGGCTGCTGGAGGAGACACTAACCTGAGCTCCCCCGTCCCCATTGGCCTGTCCGGGTGGAAGTTAGACTCCCTAACCTCGCTCTGAGGAGTGGTGTGCGGAGATGAACAGGGTCCTTCACTGTTGGGGTAATTTGAGCTTCTCTCCGTGGGAAGGCTGTAGGGAGAAATCTCATTTCATTACTAACAGTCTGTCCTGACAGCCCGTGGGGTTTGAAACAGGCCCCCGGCCTCTCTCACAGTCCCCCAGCGGCCTGGGGAGGATCGGCTCAAACTCTTCTCCGCAGAGAGCTGCTGCTGCTCGCTGCCATGGGAGAGGCCTGTGGAGTCTCTCCCCTCTGGGCCGAATGGGCCTGGAGAGAAAGTTGGGGCGCGGGGAGAGCGTCAGGCAAAGCTGAGTAGTGGGCAAGTCGTGCCTAATATCTACCAGCACAAAGACTCTTCTGGAAGCCCCAGCTGTCGTCTTTCAGCCCCACCCGCTTTCTCCTCTCCCTGCCCTGCAATAGCCACTACAGTAACTCCTCACTTAACGTTCTAGTTCTGTTCCTGAAAAATGCGACTTTAAGCGAAACGATGTTAAGCAAATCCAATTTCCCCATAAGAATTCATGTAAATGGGGGGTTAGGTTCCAGGGAATTTTTTTTTTTTCACCAGACAAAAGACTATATGTGTGTGTGTGTAATATATATATATATATATATATATATATATCACACGCAGTATAAGTTTTAAACAATGTAATACTGTACACAGTGATGATGATTGTGAAGCTTGGTTGAGGTGGTGGAGTCAGAGGTTGGGGTATTTCCCAGGGAATGCCTTGCTGCTAAATGATGAACTAGCACTCGGCTGAGCCCTCAAGGGTTAACTCTCACGCTCTACATCGCAGACAGAGACAGAGACACACACTGTGTGTGTGTGAGAGAGAGAGAGAGATGCGCATTTCCCCTTTAAGTACCCTGCCTTGTTAATTAGATCAGCCCGCAGATGCTGCCTGCAAGCTCCCTCGGTCCTGAGCCCTGTCGTGTCCCCCCCTGCTCTATGGAAGATGGGTTAAGCGGGGTGCAGGAGCAGGGGGGAGGGAGACACCCTGACATTAGCCCCCCTTCTTTCTCCCCTCCCCCCCGCACAGCAAGCCAGAGTCTCAGGGAGCAGCTCCAAGGCAGAGGGAGGAGCAGCACATGGCAGTGGGGGGAGGGACAGCTGCAATTGCTAGCCTGCTGGGCAGCTGCTGCAGAGGGAACTTAGGGGAGCGGGGAGCTGCTGGGGGGCTGCTGGTCCACCCTGGTTCCAAGCCCCCACCAGCTAGCTGCAACGGGCTGCTCTTCCTGCAAGCAGTGGACAAAGCAGGCGGCTGCCAAACGACGTTAGAAGGGAGCATTGCACAACTTTAAATGAGCATGTTCCCTAATAGATCAGCAACGTAACAACGAAACAATGTTAACCGGGACAACTTTAAGTGAGGAGTTACTGTACTTGTTGCCTACATCTGCCAGGGAGGAGTCTGAAATGGGGTCGATGCCTCTGAGTGCAGCCCTGTCCGTGAGTGATGGGCAATGCCCCGCCCCTCCCTGACTCCCACTCCTGGCATCTCTGTTGCAGGTTTCCGATAAGGGGAGGTGGCAACTGTGTTTTTCTGATTGATGAGGATTGGTTCGGCAGCTCGCGGTGCAGCACATGGAGACGCTGGATCTGCAGCAAACACAATCCCTATACGATGGGGAAGAAACGTGCTGTGGAGTTAAAACTTTGAGACTCTTAGGAACTAGGCCTGGAAAAGCTTTATTAGAGAGACACCTTCCACTACCTGTAGATGAAGGAAGCTGGGTCTTTATTCCTTACAGCCTCTCTCCAGGGCTTCCCTAGTTTTTATTCACCCATTGGAAGAGGGCGGGGGGGGAAGCAGAAAAGCTTTTCCAACTCTCAACTTTGAATGAACCATTCACTGAACTGAACTTGTTGAATAAATTGACAAGAAGAAAATATTCTCTCTACACCTGCAGAAGAGGCGACTGTTCTTCAAAAGCTGGTTTAGCACTTCAGCAAACTCTGATCAGATCCTCAGTGGTTCAGGAGCCAAATTAGGGATCGGTGTTACCCAAAAGAGCCACACTTGTGTGAATCCATTGTTTCATTTCCTATTATATATATGATATATACACCGCCATGTATTCTCACAGCAACTGACCAAGTCTTATTTTATGACTGCCCAAGTATTATTTTATCAACTACAATTGGTTAATAACATAGTAAAATCATCCTGATTGGTTAATAACTTAGCTTAGTTAATATTTAAATCACAGTGTTTTAATATCAAGAGCTTCAGGAGACACATTAAAGAGCAACACTGCTGTTGGATGGTGATACAGGAAAGGCTGAAGGCAAGGGCGTGGCAGAGGGCTTTACCGGCTGATGTCTCCATGCTGGAACCAGAGAGAGCTGAGGGTCAGGGGAGCAGTGGCAGGGCCGATCTGCTAGAGATGAAAGGTAACAGAACAGGGCGAGTGCTGGATATTTCCCTGGTGAGGATGAACTCCCAGGGGAGAGGCTGCTAGGAAGAGTGGGTTTGCACTCCAGCTGGGGTGGCTGACATGGCAGGACAGGAGCGGATCAAAGAAGAGCCTTGGTGTGGTGAAAGACATTGATGGACCAAATGTCATGGGATTTTAAGGACTATATGCACGGGGGGTGATAAATGGACTATGTTTTGGAACCTGTTATTGTGGAGTATTTGCACAAGGTTTTCATAATAAACTGATCCCAGGGATGGGTCTGATCTGGATGGATACGCTATGACTTTAAAAATCAAAATTGGATTTTTTTCAGATTTTTTATTTAAATTAAAACAAGTTTATTTTTTTACACATAAACCTGGGTTGAAGCCTAAACATGTCTCTTACAATAATTTAAGCTCTGTATTGCAGGTGACTGATGAATTGGTACCTTGTGTTGAAAAGGCTGCCTGGGGTCGCTGCAGATACTCACTGAGGGCACTGCACTCTGGAGAGGAAAGTCTGAACAGGACCCTACCTCAGTTCAGCTGCCAAGTGGGTTGCTTGGGCCCCAAGGCCCCGGTCTCAGAGTCGTTGAGGCGACAGGCCGGGATCCTTGTGGGGATCCTTGGGGTCCAGGACACTAAAGTAGTTACTAGCAGCAGGAGACTGATGGAAGGTTCAGGCATAGCACAGACCCCGTGTGTCAGTGACACTGCCCTGCCCCCACCACCAGAAAAGCTGAAAAACTGGGGCTGGCTGAGCAGTGTATGGACAGAGGGCGACTCTTAGTGGCTAGCAAGTGCAGGCGCTGAATCCTGTGGATTCCCAGAGCAGTGTCTGCAAAGATTTTAGGATCAGATTTTCCAAGGGGAGGTCCCATAGCATGCTCATAAATGTACATTCAAGGATATTTGGGGCGGGGGGGAAGGGAAATCCCAGACAAAGTGGGCATTTTCTGTAATATTTTTCACGTGTGCCTCCGTTTCTCTCTGCATTGCTACAAAAGGGTTAAACCTGCTCTTGGAGGAAGATTAAGAAACAGGAGGTGTTTGCGTCACACAGCTGTCTGGGGAGGTATGAAGGGATCATTAAAGGACTGGCAGAAACCAACCCAGATCAACGGAGAATTTGGAAAGGCAATTGGGAACCCCAGTGACCATGATGTTCAAACAAAGGAGATTTCCCCTGCCACCTCTCAGAAGGGAAGCGGCAAACAGGCCCCAGCTAGAGAGCAAAGGGTGATGACTCGGAGAAGGGCTGGACTCTGAAGAGACAGAATTTTGCACTTGGGACTCATGAGAACATGGAGAAAAAATGGACCCCATATCAGCTCGGCTGGCTGATTGCCCTGGCTTGGCCACTGGGACCAGGCCTTAACCTTTGCCTCTCATTGCTGCCCTAAGGGCTTTCAGATTCTATAGGCAGGTGACTAATAAAGTGTTACCTTGTTTTGAAAAGGCTGCCTGGTGTTGCTGCAAATACTCACTGGGAGCAGTGTGTGCTGCAGGGGTCCAGTGTACACAAGCCTCCTGTAGGAGTCTGGATTCACTGCAGGGAGTCACAGAGAGAGACAGGGATCGTTGGTGCCGAAGGCCCAGTTTTGGAGTCTTGGAGGCCACGGGCCAGGCCCAGCCCACTAAAGAGGGCACGCCCAAGGGACTGGTTACAGGCTGGACATAGACCAGACCCTGTGGATCTGTGACAAGAACTATTGTGTGCCCAGATTTGGGTGCATAAATGGTAAGCAACTACCAGATGTGGGAATACAAACTGGTGCTTCTTCATCTAAGTCTCCCACAGAATTAGAGGCTATGGCTGAAAGTGGGGCCAGGTGGAAGAATGTTCAAAACTCTGCCCTTGAGAGGTGACCAAATGGCATGTAGGTCTCCAAAAGTGACATTGGGGCTTTACAGCTTTTAATCTTCAAACTGTTCCTGAGAGCCAAGAGTGTCTGCTCACACGCGATGCCGAGGAGGCAGCCAGCTCCTCATGGAATCAGACCCAGCTCCTGAGGAACAAGTGACTGGATCTGACAGAACAAGGAGCAATGATCTCAAGTTTCAGTGGGGGAGATCTAGGTTGGATATTAGGAAACACTATTTCACTAGTATCAGAGGGGTAGCCGTGTTAGTCTGGATCTGTAAAAAGCAACAGAGAGTCCGGTGGCACCTTTAAGACTAACAGATGTATTGGGAGCATAAGCTTTCGTGGGTGAATACCCGCTTTGTCAGACGCATGTTTCCCTAGGAGGGTGGTGAAGCACTGGAATGGGTTACCTAGGGAGGTGGTGGAATCTCCATCTTTAGAGGTTTTTAAGGCCCGGCTTGACAAAGCCCTGGCTGGGATGGTTTAGTTGGGGATTGGTCCTGCTTTGAGCAGGGGGTTGGACTAGAACCTCCTGAGGTCTCTTCCCACCCTGTATATTCTATGATTCCTTGGAAAATGGGTTTGTCGGAGGCTTTAGAATTTGTTAATTAGCAAATGTGTTTTTCTTTTAGAAACTAAACAGGGACACTTGCTATTTCAGTGACGCCAGTGCAGCTCATTGGCACGACTGCTTATTTCAGGGCAACTTTCTCACAAATCCATTTAGCTACAGCCGTGCAGGTGTCCGAAATCGTGCGGTTCCCTTTGATCATCCCACAGCTCTCCCTGTCAGCAGCGCCTGTCAGCTGGAACCTGGGGAACAAAGAGCAGGAGTCACTGGCAGGGCCGGCTCTAGGTTTTTTGCTGCCCCAAGCAAAAAAAATCTGGGCCCCCTGACGCCCCAGCCCTGGGCTCTCTTCCCCCCCCCTCACCCACACCACCTGCCACCCCAGCCCTGAGCTCCCCCCCCAAACATGACCTCCTCATTCACCACAGTAATCCCCGTTTACACTTGCAGTGGGGATCAAACTGTTTCTCCTATTTTTATTTCACTTTAGTATAAATCTCGCCCCCGCAACCCCATCTTTAGTGCTCCAAATGCACATGGAAGGCATAGGGACTAACCCTCAAACCTTGTACCCGGAAAGGGATGGGGAGCTAGTAAAGAGGGTTCAAGCAGAGGAGCGGGTGTGGGGGCGCTTGGGGGCTCTACACTGGCAGAGAAGCAGGGTGTGATGTACTCACGGAGGAGGGAGGAGGAGGAGAGGGGATATCAGGAGGGTTGCGGGAGAAGAGGTGCAGGGGAAGGAGGAGGTGCGGGAGAAGAGGGCTGGGGGAGGGTACAAGGGGAGAGGTGCGGGTGAAGGGAGAGTACAAGGGGAAGGGGTGCGGCGAAGGAGCGATGGGGGGAAGTACAAGTGGAGGGGCTGCGAGCGGGATGGGGGGTGCAAGGGCTGAGAGGGGCAGGTGCTGACAGCTGCTTCCCCAGCCCCGTGCAGGCAGAGCCGAGAGGACAGACACTGACCCCCCCAGGTGCCCGAGCCGCAGGGATCCCCCGGCAGGGCAGTATCCCCCGCTGCCCCACTCGGAGCCGGGCTCTGCCTCTCCCCGCCCAGGGCAGGCAGCGCGGGGCTGAGGCGGGGGAGGTGCACGGTGGGCTGGGTCCGGGGGCAGGAGGGGGCGGCAGCTCCCTGGCAGCTCGGGCTGCCCAGCCACTCGCCCTGTCAGCGCGCGAGCCGGGATCCGCGCCCCCTGCCCAGCCCGGCGGCGCCTGCACAGCCCCCTCGGGCGGGGAAACGCCGCGCCGCCCTGGGGAGACTCAGAGCAGCAGCGGCAGCAGGACCCCTCCCCCCTCCCTGCATCCCGGCCCCACTTCCCTCCCTCCCGCCCCGGCTCCTCACACCCAGGCTGGGCTGCAGTTCAGGCTGCCATGAGCGCC